CAACGCTGGGTTGAGTATTAACCGTGGGAGTTGGGGTGTCTTCCGCGTGATCTTCAACAGTTGGTGGAGGTTTGGTAGTAGGCGTTGCCGTAACCTCCGTNTTAGTCAGTGGTGTCTGATCTGGAGTAAAAACTTCATCTTCAAGTTCTTCAGTTGGCTCGCCCTCCACGGACGTTTCTAAGTTGGCATCTTCTGATGTGACGGTTGGGATTGGTGGTACCGAAATTTCAAGGGTTTCCACATCGTTGCTGGGAATGACGACCTCTTCAGGAGCTTCAATAATGACTTGAGGCGTTGAAGTTGAAGTCGTTGTAATCCTCTGGGCAGGCTCAACGCTGGGTTGAGTATTAACCGTGGGAGTTGGGGTGTCTTCCGCGTGGTCTTCAACAGTTGGTGGAGGTTTGGTAGTAGGCGTTGCCGTAACCTCCGTGGTCGATGGTGATTCCATGGGGTGTGATGGCTTGCGGTTAGAACTGGGGAGGTATTCCCTTTTGTCTCGATCGGAGATCGGCTTTCTAGCTGTATCTGATGTTAGGGTAGCTTTTCTCATCCTCACTCGGTCAGCAATGGAGTTTTTGGTGCCAACAATCTCGGGTTCACTGTTGATCCTGATTCGGAGATTCGGATTGGTGACTGTACGAGGAGGCTCCGAACTTGGTTTTAGTGTATTCCTCGGGGTTATGGGTAGACACACAACGAGGAGTACTGGCTGAGGGTTTCTTTCCTCCAATGGATTTTCAGCAAACGCGTCGGCCAATTGGGCACCTTTCTGTTTTTTTATCTCGACTTCGAACGAGTAGTCATTCAGGAAAGTTTTCCAATTTACTTGACGGGTTGTTGGGTTGGTGGAATCCATCAGCCAATTTAGGGCAGAGCTGTTTGTCACTATGGTGAATGGTACTCCGTAAATGTATGGTCTGAACTGGCTCAGCGCATACACCACAGCCACACAGTCCATTTCAGCAGGTGTGTACCGGGTCTCTGGATCTCGGAGGGTTCTGGATGCGTAGAGGATGGGGTGATCATCTCCTTCCTCATCCTTTCGGCTCAAAATTGCACCGATTCCTTTGGAGGTCGCGGAGACATGGACGATGAAAGGCTCTTCCATGTCCGGGTGAAATAAAAGCGAATCCTCGGTAATGGCTTCCTTCAAGGCCTTGAAATCCTTTTTATGTTCTTCGTTCCAGTGAAATTTTTCATCTTTTCGAAGAAGATTAGTCAGGTTTTTGGACTTTTCTGCATACTCCTCCACAAATCTCCGGTAATAGTTACTAAAACCGAGAAATCTCCTCACACCATGCTGATTAATTAGTGCCGGTATTTCCCTTAAGGCTTTAATTTTCTCTGGATCTGGGTGGATTCCCTTTT